AGCGGCGGGGCTGCGTCCCCGGCACCCGGCCGCCCGCATGGCTAGCTTATGCCCAGAAATAATTACACGGAAACTGTATTCTTTCAAACACTGCCTGGCCCGGCTAGTTCCAGCTTCTTATTGGCTAGCTCTTACATATTGTTCTAACTCATTTCTAATATTCTGTGTAGCCCACGAGCTGGCTTACCAGGGAGGATCTTAACCTGCGTCTGTCTAGAGCGGGAGAATCATGGCGACTCCTTCACTAAGCTTCTTTTTCCCAGCATTCTCTTCTGTCTACTCCGCATACTTAATTTTCTGTCCTATGAGGGCTGAGGCAGTTTCTTTATTATTAACCAATCAAAGCAACAGATAAGATACAAGACCCACCTCCATCAGGTAATGATGAAGAAAATACATAATATCAAACAAGGAAGGCAAGACTGGAGTGGTGTTGCCTCTCAGAGTAAGAGTCAGAGGGGAATGTGCCCTTGAAGAACAGGATCCTCACAGACGACATTGGAGGGCTACTTGTTCAGATATACTAGTGACCTTAGAAAGACTTCGAACTCACGGACTGCCGTTTATGGCACTCCCTAGCATACATATGTTAGGAAGGGCCAAATTGGAGGTCATTTTGACAGATAAACACTAGTTCATAGGTGCTGTCTCGAGCAGTCTAACCCTGCAATACTTGAGGCCACTATAAGGTAAATCTTCTGTTTGAGTGACAGGCTGGGTGAAAGGCTCCCCGAGCCACTGTGTAGTGACTCACATTTGTACGCCGGCTGGAAACTCCTTTTTGTTTAATTTTTTCAAAGAGAGATCTCCCAACTTTGGGGCTGGGGAGGATTGAAAACAGAAGCCAGCAGCATGCCTGTTGTCAGGGTCAGTTCATTGTCTGACATCGGTAGTCCCTGGGTTTAGCACGGCCATCACACTAAATAATTTCTCTCTCAAAATAGCCCATCAGATCGCATTAAGTATGAAAGCCGCAGCACAGGTTAGCGATAGCTGTCACACGCCAGAAGTCGTTCCCTACCTATGGCCATCTCGGGCTCCAGGCAGATGGTGTTTAACCATTCTTTCGGCAACAAGGACAGGGAAGCTGTCTTCGAAGGAAGAGGAAACCCTGGCAACACCTGCCCGAGAAAGGGTTCTACTGAGGAGTAACCTGTGCATGGTGTTAAGAGTTCTGGGATTCTTTTGAGAATTTCCCAGCGGTGTTCTTGAGCCTGCCTTCCATTTCCCCAGCCTGTGTGACAATAGAAACGGTACTGGCAAGAAAGCACGCTTGCTCATGTTTGTTCCGTCTTCCGTGGTATTGCCACACCAGCACGGCGGACCGCAATGAACCCCTGTCAGCGTTTCTCTTCCCTGGCTACTTGGCAAGATGAATGTGCAGTTCGGTGTATGCATTTGTACATGGTACCCAGGGAACCCACCGATTCCAGCCATCTCCAGTTGTCACCAGTGGGTTTTCATTTCCACGTCGTGAATCTTGTGGTTGAAATTCTTCTTACTGTCTTTTATGTGGGACACTTAGACAATAGCAAATCACTTGTAATGTGGTCATTTGATTATTTGTATGAAACAGAAACCCTTTGAAATCAAGCATGCAGGGGTTGAATATGAGAAGTTCCAGAAGTTTGCAGCTAGCCTAGACTACATGGAAGTTCTACTCTAGGCCGGGCTATAGAATGGGATTGTGTTTTTAAAAATAATACCAAAATTATTATTATTACAGTTAAAGTTATTTCACATTTTCTTGAATTCTTTTGAAGCTGTAGTACTTACCACACTGATAATAACAATACCAGTGTGTCCCGATCCATTTATCTTATAAAATGTACTCTGATTATGAGTAGGTGTCTATCAATCATAATATCATTGTTAATGTAGACAGTTCCAGCTACATAACTAGCCAAGTATCTTCATTTGCTCAAATAATTGACTAAGTATTATAAGTTTATTTAGCATGCATTGTGTGCTGGTCCTGAAATACTTAAGCACTTTAGCATTTCATACAAAATAACAACGTTTTAAAGTAATATACTTAATTTTAAACATTGGGACAACTGGATTAATATCATTGCCTACTGTACCCAAAGAGCAGATTTTGATCAAATATTTGGGATGCATTTTTCTCTTTTGTCTGATACTCTAGCATTATGGGACTCCAAGTTTCTACTACAGAATTCAAATCAAAAATCAAACTTTTGAGACATATTTGAAAGTACTTATTATAAGCTGGTGGCAACTCATGCTTCAACTCTCAACAAGCAGGGTGCTGAGGCAGGAGGATCATGAGTTCAAGAGTGGGCTGGGCTCTATAGTAATGCAGCAAGACCTATTTTTTTTTTTTAAAAAAGTGTTCACACTGTTATGCACAATATTACCATAGTAACAATATTTTATAAACTTTAATTTGGGGTACAAATTTCCTGAAAGCTTTTAAGGTCTCACACGATAAAAGCACTGTCCGGGGGCCTCTCTTCAGCTCTATGTTTTTTGCGTGTGCTTCTTATGTATTCTGATGTCACAAGTGACAGGGTCATGGACTCCTCGCCAACTTATGATTTCACCTCCCCTGGGCCTACATGTGAACACTGGCAGAGCTGATGGTGGGTATGGAGGCCTCGGCTATGCTGAGTAACATCCCTGCTCTACTCTTCCTAAGCCAAGGTCTTCGTGGTCTTAATGCTGTTAGTTTGAACTATCATAATTAAGGTGCCATTTTTAAAGGGGTCATATTTTTCTGCCTGGTTTCTAATCTGTCTCAGCTCTTAACAAGGCGACTATGTTGAATAAACACACACACATATGTATATGTATATACATTGTTTTTAAAATGTATGTGTGCATGCATGTGTGTGCGTGTATTGCTCAAACTTGTATCTCTTACATGAGGATTTGAACTCAGATCCTCCTCTTTTCAGAGCAAGGCTTTTTACCCACGGAGACAGCTCCCCAAACCTGGTAACTAGTTTCAAACCATTTGTGGTTTCTCATATGTTATTTTTGTTTATTTGGCGTTTGTATATTTCTGAAGTGTGCATATATTATGTAGTGGCTACAGCAGCCAAACAGAAGGTGGGGAAAGTCTCTCCTTGTAACAGAGCTGGTTTTCTTACCTGTGCTGGTGACCTTCAGGATTAGAACATCAAAGAACAGCCAGAGGTAGATGCTGTAGGGAGACAGCAGCTGAGACCATGTGGATCACAGCTTCCTGCCTTATGGCCGGTATCGGTATCCTCATTTCTAGCTTTTTGCTGCCACCGTGTCTCCTCTGCTGTCCCCATTCCCATGATTCCCCTTAACATACCCTTTCTCTTGCTTTCGTATTCCCTCTTGATCCAAGACAAAACAATAGTCACTAATTAGAAGGGGAAAAAAAGAAGAGATTGAACATTTTAAAACACATGGAACCTTAGAGTTCCTGTGACCATCACTGACAGAAGAGAATACTATTTTATATACATTATCCATCAGAGTGCATTAGAAGATGAAACTCCTCAAGGATTAAGAAAATAGATATTTATGATAAATGCCATGACTTTCTCATTTTTCTATTTAAAAGTGGGCTGGCGCTGTAACAGAAAATAACTGGAGGCTAATGGGATAAAAAAAAAAATAATGAGTAATATCCTTCCCCCTCCCCAACTGCTGAAAGGAGGCCCAAGTCATTTTGACACATCCCAGTTAACAGCTTTTCAGGGTGGGTCGTAACTCCATGTTTGTTAGTGTCTTAACTCCATAGTGACACACTCAAAGCCTACTGGACCTTGATTGTGTGTGTGTTTCTGGATCTCTCCTGAACGATGGGTCTCGTGATTAAGTTATTTTCAACCTCGTCCCCAAATTTCTTAGCTCTGATGATGGATAAATACACCAACAGGAGTAAAGCGATCCGTGATTTTCACTCAGAATATGTGTATGGCGTGTCGTTGTGTGTATGCCTGAAGAATAAACTTACTGTCCGCCTGTCGCCAGGATAAAAAAAAAAAGTGGGAGCTAATCAAACTGCGGTAGGGTCAACCCTTGTGGTTTTAAAGGGCCTTAATGTTATCCAGCTGCAGACTGAAAGGGCTTGGGAGGGGAAACTGGAAGGAGTGGAGGGGGCTGGAGGGGCTGTGGAAAAGCACAGAGAGTCTGGCTTTTATTTTTATTTTTTTTTTAAAGTGAGTTCAGTGCCAGGCTGGACATTGGGTGTGCGGACTATTGAGCCATTGTCTCTCCTATTTCCAGAGTAGCCCCCAGTTAATCACTTCGGCTTTGAAGGGAATTTCCTCGTGGAATTCTCCACAGAAAATCTAATCAACTGACCTGCCTTCTCAACAATGGAAGGCTTTTCCCTCGCTCCCTTATTGGGGCGGGCTCTGTAATGTAGCCTTTTGTGCACAATGAACCCTCCCAGTAGGAGTGGAGAGCATGTGTGTGAGTGACTGTGTGTGTAGAGTGCACTCTCTTGTGCTGTAAGTGTGAGAGAACTCCCTAGCCAGACGCTGCGGTGTATGGGAGCCGGCACCATTCCCTCCTGCGTGTGTAGGTACCTCTGTCAATCCATGTCAAAGGTCCATTACCTGATTCCCTTCCTTGCCTGCCAGATTTTTATCTAGATAATTGGAACTGCTACGGAGGCTGTGCCTTGCCAGCCAGCTTAGGATTTGGAGAACCAGAGTTTGTCCAGCTTATCTGTGGCTGCCTGGACAGAGGAAATTAAAGAGCCTTGGGGCTGGGGGCTCGTGGGCTCTTTCCACCCTAAGCACCAGGGTACTCTTCGGGAGCAGGACAGTTGACTGGTCAGGGCTGTCTTCTGGTTGGAGTTTGGGATTGTCCTGCACTCCTGCATGCTGCGTTTGGCATGCGGATACCTGCTCTCCTCCAAGCCTGGTTTCTGGAGTTTGAAGCTACAGAAACTTTGCCTGGGTTGCCAGGACCTTGCGAGCACTCTGTGGAAAGCTAGCTAGCTCTGAGCCCGACAGAGTGAGTGACAGGCTGTTTACAGGTTTCCTTGAAGGGGCCTCTGCTATATTTCAATCTGTCAAAGTTGCTTTTCTTCCTACAGAACAATGCCTGATTGTTGTGTGTGTGAGAGTGTGTGTGTGTGCGCGCGCGCACGCATACACACACACACATGCTTGTATGTTTCCGTGTGCACTTGGAGGGGGGGGTGAGGAATATCAATTCTTTGTGTAAAAATGCCGTGACTATTAGTGCTTACTTAGTTAATACTCAGTTTGATTGGGGCTCCGTTATTACAAAGTTATTTTTTAATCAGCCCCAAATGTATTTTGCACAGTGATACTGGTGGTGGCGGCGGTGTGTGTATGTGTCTGTGTTTGTGTTTGTGTGTATGGTGTGACTTTTATTATTTAGAGGAGAGAGCCTGGGAGACATGTTACGAGTTGACTTCTACCATTCCGTGATGTCCAGGAGAGAGAATTAAGAGGAAGAGACAGGCACCGGGAGGTTGTCTAATGCTAGCAGCCAGAGTGTGCGGCTGTGCGGAGGGGGAGCAGCCAGACTGCTGCTGTAAGTGTACTACCCCTTTAAGAGAATGGTCAAGGAGTCCTAGGAGAGAGAGAGAGAGAGAGAGAGAGAGAGAGAGAGAGAGAGAGAGAGAGAGAGAGAGAGAGAGAGAAGAGAGGGGGGGGGGGGGGGGGGGAGGGAGAGAGGGAGAGGGGAGAGAGAGAGAGAAGAGAGAGACACACACAGAGAGAGAATCTATTGGTTTAGAAGGTTTGGACTGACTTGACAGGTTCAGTTGGAGCCGATCATAGGTGGCCGCCGTGACAAAGGGAAGCTGTGCTTTTCCAGCATGCTTACTGACCCTGATTTACCTCAGGAGTTTGAAAGGTGAGTGCTCTTTGGTTTTTCTCCCCCTAATATACCGAAGTGCAAACTCTTCCATTTCACAGGAGTCTGTGAATCCCCTCCAAGATGCCTCCCCCAGATTGCGTGTGCGAGAGCGGCTAGGGTCTCTGCAGCCTTGGGAGCTGATTTCTGTTGTGGTTGCCCGGACCAAATTGAACTGATTTGCAAAGTCTCCTCCGAGCTTACTGCTAATGTTTTTAGGTTGCGTCGGATCACAGGCAGGAAATTAAATGAACATTAAGCATCTCTCTCTCCTCCCCCCATCCGCGGCTGCTCTCTTCCTCGCTTGGTCTCCTACTTTCTGCTTTCATTGATTGCCCCCACACACCTTTTGTAGCCGGCTCGCATATTCAGGATCTCTGCCTCCTGTAATTTCTCAAGTGATAGAAGGCTTCGGTGGTGTTTAAAGTGGAGGCTGTTAGATTCCTGTTTGATCCCTCTGGTAAACTTTGGGAACTGCTGGGAAAAACAGGACCTTTTGTTGATATGATAGAGCGGGTTGTTGTCTTTTTTTCCCCAAAGAAAATTGAACATCACAGTTAAATATTAGTAGATACTTATGGAGGTGTCTGGAGAGGGGAGGTCGGAGATGAACAGGACACCCCCTTTTGAAGTTTTGTGCCCACTTTTGTGCTTGCTGTCTTAACTGTGTTTTGATAGCCAGACTTTTCGCTGTGCTGTGACGGGAGCTAACTGTATTCGTAATTAGTTGTTCCTATTTAGAGAGGTATGTGCACTTCCCTTCCCGTTTGATGCTGCAAGTTACATGTGGGCTTTTAAAGGATTTTAGCCCTCCTCCTGTCCATGTAATTTACACATTACAATTTTCAACTTTGAGTTCGTATCCTAGTATAAGTTCATTTTTCGAACTATAAATAGATTTTTGTTTGCCATTAAAAAGAACTCAAACTTCGTATTCTGTATGGTGAATTAAAAAAAAAAAAGCTAAAAAAAGCCAGGATGCAAGATCCCCAGGCTTTTTTCATTTTCATGCAAGCTATACCTTCTGTATAAACATTTGTCGTATCTGACTATGCAACTCAAGCTAGGTGCTAGACCAGCTGGTTAAAAATATGCTAAGTCAAGCTGTTTATCACTCAAACGCCTGAATTTGAGATGAAAGGACGAAAAAAGAAAGGACAAGGATTAAAACATTCTAGAACTGAAGTCATGGGGGAGAGGGAATGTGGAGGAGAAAATAATGCTTGGCTGTGCTCACATCCCCGAGAAGCCACTGTGTGCCCAGGGAAGAAAGTGGACGAGGTGGTGGCTCCTGAGCCCCCTGCTCTAGCTCTCTATCCTCTCTACTAAGAAGGCGGATCGTTCCTCAAGGTTCTGAATTATTTTTTCCCCAAAGTTTCCCATTTGAACTCTGCTGGCCAGTGAGCTCTCCTTTGCAAACGCAGTCTTGTTTCTATGTGGATACTCAAGTTGTTCACACTGGAGCACAATATTGCCTAATGGAGCGATTTGTTAATTGAACAGAGTAAGTTTCCAGCAAGTACAGATGAACACCCTTATGATAATTTTCCTTAATTCTAATTATACTTTTTTTTTGCAAATAAAACTCCGAGTGATTTGTAGCGTGTTATCAGCCTGCTTTTATAAAGAGGCGGTTACACATTAACAGACTACACTCTATTTCTCTTATAGGCGAGCTGCCTGCTGGGAACTTTATTTGTATTTTTTTTTCAGTTATCTCTTTTTAAGCCAAACTTTTCCCTTTAACATCTTAACGCTCAACTCTTCTAGCATGGTTTTGTGTTCCCCTTCTAGTGATGTTTTTAAGTTCTGTTCTGCACTGTGCAGGGGCATCCATGTTTAGCTGGGTAATTAAATAAGCCGGTTATAATCAAGTAGTTTGCGTGTATATGCGCCCTAAGAGTAAGCGGCAATAGTTAAAGTCATTTTGAAAACTGCCTCACAATCTAGCATTTTTAATAATTTACCCTGAGATCAGATTGGGCAATACTTCCCCAAATCCCAGCAAAGCCCTGACAGTTTGTGTACTCCTCATTCTCCCATTGCCACTCACAGAGCAGATCATGTAGATCGATACAGGGCTGAATATTGAAATTCTCTGAAGGGCAACCCCATAATAGCACTACCATATATCATCAGAATGAGGTTGGTTTGTTCTCTGTGTTCTCCTGTGCCTCAACAGCGATTTGCAACTTTTGTTGAATAAGTAGGTCATTTTTATTGACTCAATTTTCATTCTATTTGCTCACCTGCCATCAAAGAGTTTTTCACTCGAATTCATTTAGTCTTCTTAAAGAATTCCTAATGTCTTCATGAATGGAAAATTAGGCGTAGTGGGCAGCAATTAGTCAGAGCTCAGGTGCCATTAAAGTTTTAAGTCATTTGTATCTCTAATGTCACTGGTAAAGTAGTGCCCATCTTCTATGATTCCCCCCTACCCAATAGACAGAGCCTTGGAAACTTCAAGAAATAATTCAAAACTTTCAGATCAGTCTGGGGATGCAGATTTAGGTGATGAATGTCAGTGTTTCCAGCTGCAGGAAGGGACAGACTCAAGAGTCTCAGGTTGACAAACGGCTGTTACATAGCTAAGGAGCAGGTGACAACTTCATTGTCTGTGAGGATGTTCAAGAGGTAGAGGGAGATGCGTTTCAGAAGTAGCAGGCTTCAACTGCCAGCTCCTGCTTCCCCGCAGCTCCTGCAGGGCTGACTGGGTGACTGAAGGGCAGATCTCAGGTGCGGGAGGAATAGGCAATGCACGGCCCGGCAGATGCTAAGAGAGACAGACCTCGGGTCCAGCTATGGCTACGCACCACAATGGGCAGCATTGTCCACGTGCCGTGAATAGAAGCATCCCTAGCTCTCCGGAGAGGTCTTAGCGAAGTCATTGTCCTTCCATCCAACTGAGAGTTAAAGAATGAGATATTGTGACTTCAGGTTTTTCATTCGAGAATGTCTTTTGTCTCTTGACACTTCAACACGGGAGATACTTGCTTTAGCTTGTGGTGTGACTCTCCTGCTGCTGAAGGAGAAACAACCATGTCTGAGACTTTATCACCGGCACAGTTGTCAGCTGGTTTACTTCATGCGTGTGTCCGTCTTCCATGTGAGTGTTCCATGACCAGGTTACCTACTGTGCTTCTCAGTTGTCGAACTGGAAAATTTCATTTAAGGCAGTAAAAGACTTCAAAGTGCATCTATTTAAAAAAGACTTGCTATTCCCAGAAAGAAAGAAAAGTTAGGAGTGAAGGATGCAGCATGTGGCCTCAGAGCCTCCCTCATGCAGTGTGTGCTTCTCTCTAAACGGGTACCGACAGCAGCCTCTTTCCCCACGCCGAAGGGAGCTCTGCAGGGTCAAGACCTCATGCAAAAGAAAAGGAATCAGCTCAACTTACACTTAGCCCATTCCCATCGGATTTATATACAGTCAGCCCAATGGGAGAGATTGTTTTATTATAAAAGCCCCACTTTATTCTGAAGCAGGGAATACCCTTCCAGGTCTGTGAAAATCAGTTTGCGAATTGCCATGGGAAACTACTAGCAACATGTAAGGCTACCCCTCCCAATATTGGTTTTTAGTTACTGCTCCTCCCAATAAAATATATTTTTTACCTGGGCATTTATTCAATATAGTTGGAGTCTTATAAAAAAAATCTGTTCTGCTCCTAAGTTACCAGTCCATTCAGGTTAGCAGGTAGCTTCCAGACAGGAATTTAAAAGGTACTCGCCTGGCTTTTGTCACCCCAAGGCAACTGTAAGCTTACAGGTCTCATGATCAGTGTGTTCTGATGTCTGCTTTGGCCACTTCAGCTAGTCCTCACTCACTACTACTTCTTGCTGGAGGACATAGTCATTCATTGCAGATTGTAATTGCCATCTCAATAACTTGTGAGCTCAACTGAGCTGACACCTTGGTTTGGAATGCAGCTCACTAGAAGCAGTGTGTAAACCACACTTCTGTCCCACACCCCATTCTGCCTGAAGACTTGGCAGGAGTCTCAGTGATCACCAAGAACAATGCAGGGTTAAATGCCAGGTGGCACTGTGGCCAGATCAGGGGAAAGCAGGCTGCAGAAATGGAAGAGGGTGTTGCTATTGATCACATGTTGATGCACTTTTTCCTATGCCTCAAATATCAGAAGCACAATTAAAGTGAGTGTCTGTTCTTGGAAAGCTTTTTCCCTGAGATTTACATGAGTATCGTCGATCAGAGGCAGATGAGAAAACCTGTCTGCTTTGGAGTATCTCAGCCTTCTAAGGGTTGGAAACTGTGTCTCATGGATCTTGTTCATGCCACATTGACAGAACACCATCCCCAAGGGGTGTCTCATTTTTATTGTCTGGTCTTTCCTTGTCCATTCTTCAGTCACTTAAGCCATATGTTGTATCGTGCAGGTATGTGTTATGTGTTCTAAACACAACCCTTTTATAGATTAGTTTTAAAGGCACAACTGTTGGGTGCTATTTACCTTGTAAATTTGCTATTCCTTTGTAGTTTAGTGAGATTAACCAATACCACGGGGCATCAAGGAATGGAAGCCAAACTCTCCATTCTTCTCTTGTGCTAAGTCAGTGTGCTCGGTTCTGAGTCAAGTGATGGCAGTGATCTTAAAGGTGTGACTCACCTACGTGTGAGTCCTACTCTTCTTAATCCAAACATGCTAGTGGAGAGATCTCATTCCCCCTTTATTCTGTCCTCCCTGGCTTTGAACCTAGGGGTGGCACCCTCATTGGCAGAGCATGTAAAATTCAAATGCGGTGCAGATGAAGTAGATCGGGGGGGATTGCTAGAGTAAGAGGAGAAAAAAAAAGACCCACTAAAGACTAACGCTATTTCCCTTAAGCGAGCAGGGTTGATTTAGGTTTACATCTGGAGACTGCCTTCTACTTCTTCCTGTGAATCAGGAACCTTTTCCCCTTTGACTCTGTGTTCTGCCCCGCAGCCTGGAAGCCTCTTTGCCTTTTCTTTGCTGTCGTCTCCCCTTCCTTTCCCCTGCTAG